CGTTGGTGTTTGCTATTATAAAACTTAATAAAACTATAGATGCCATATAATACTGCTAAAACTTAATTTTTTTACTTTTTCTTTAACTTTCAAAAAAACTTGTTTCTTGTTATTTTGGGTTAAAACTATTTGATTCAACTGTAGATTTATCATTTATCAAACTTATTTCTATATGTTTTGTTATAAAATTCAAGAATAATGGGACCATTTACTTTTTTTAGTTTTTATGCGAATTTTTTTTATCTCTTATATATTTAAACATATGGTATCATAGCACTTTCAATTTTTTATTTTATACTTTTGAAAAACTTAAATAGAACATTTTGAATAATATCATATTTTTCAAATTTTCACCTTATTTCTCATATTTAGTGAGATAGTTCAATGTCTTTTTAATGAAATAAGATATATTCTTTCTCTTTAGACTTTCAACCTCTTAACAATCGTTTGACATTCAATTTTTATGTTTCAATAACTAACATCAATTAGTTTTTTTCTGCTTTGATGATCTTATATTGTTTTATCTGTATTTTTATTCATTTGCTATAATATTGATATTAATTTTACATATTTCCAAACTTTTGAAATTAAATATGCAAACATTTATCGTTTTTATAAACTCATAATGTTTTTATTACTCCAAAATGAAATATAATAGAAATAAATATATTAATTGTTTTAATTTGTATTGACAAAATTAAAATACATAAATAATCTTGTATGTATTACTTTTAGTCTCTTATTTACTCATTTTTTCGTTTTTTATTTAATTAAAATTTTTAATTGTTATAAATTACAATAGATATAAATTTACATGAATTAAATGAAAATTTAAAATAACATTAATTGTGAAATTATTTTTTTGCTTAGGTGGACAGTGTAAGAAGAGAGAAAAGTGTGTTATTATATATATAGATGAGAAGTTGAGAACACTTGTTGGGTATATAATTCTTGTTGACTGAAAAAGAGCAAAACACAAGTTTGAATGGACACATAAACCTTGAAATTAAAGCCATGAGGAGTAGGAGAAAGCACCTGATTGATCAACAGTAGTCGTTCAGGGCATAACATTAGTCACCTCACCTCAAAAATGACATAGAGAACAAAAAACAGGGATCAAACTTTTGTAACTGTCGCATGATTGTTGGCATCAACTGGAATAATTCCAGACTCACTCTTGCATTGAAGAAAATCATATCCCACAAGATATACACACCCAGACCATTACAATGAATTCTCGGAGGATTCAGAGAAACAATCATTTTCCGGCTTTAAGTTCAATCGCATCTCCGAGTACAACTCCCGGCGTAAAAATTTGCATTAATCAAAGTTTGTAATAACAAAACAAACAAGAAAGTAGTTTGCTAAGCTCTCGTTCAAGAATTTAAATCAGGAAAATAAAACTCACTTAAGTTGAAGATTTTGAGACAATTGTTCTTTTTCCGTGAATGCAAAAAAGGATACAAATACTCCAAGGCCAAATATTTGTCTCTTTTTCTTTGATCTGAATTTTCCATTTTTTTGTTTTTTTGAAATAAATGTTAAATTCTATTTACACAAAAAAAAACATTGTTTATACATAGTGCATCTTTATGTAGAAATTAAAAAAACATAAAATTACTGATTTTTAACCAAAACCCAACATTTAGAAGACAATTTATATACCAAAAGATCAACCATTCAAAATCGTGAAAGTAGTAGGGTCCTAAAGACCACATCAATCATAAACCTAACCCAAAAATGAGCAAGAGTTTATGAACAGAGGATTAAACACTCTCGCTCACAAAGACCTCATGTAACGAAAGAGGAAAGCTTGTTGCAACATATTTATGAACCTTAATAGACGTCATATGTCAAGTCCTTTTGAGTACTAATTAAACTAGTTAATTCGTAAATCAATATGTTAATTACAAGTGGACATCAAGTTCCACTCTATTTACGGGAATACCCCTTCTAAGGGCTGGTTCGATTCGCATAAATCGCGGTTCAGATGTCAATTGGTTTGGTATAATAATATCAACTTTATCTAATTTTATTGTGCAAGTGTATATATTCAACCACCAGATGAAACTTACTGAAGTAGCAGGTATTTCCACTTACAAAGATTAAAATAATTAAATGTACATATATTAGATAAAATATTACAAGGTAATTACGAGTAAACTAACTTTACAAAAGAGTCTAAATGGTCTTAACTTTATCATCCATAAAACACACAACTTGAAAGTTTACAAGGTTTAGATTAGTTGTTTATATTTTCCAAATCATTTCATACTATATAATTTAAACATTTATTTTTGTTAGCGTTTGCCCTTACATTATAACATTTTTTCCTAAAACGTAAAGTTTTTTTTTTTAATTTGTTTAGACATATATATCAACAAAACAGTGGAATTGGTTGAAACAATCGAATCCTAAATATATGGATGCACACACATGTACACGTATGAAATCACATTTATACAACAAAAAAAATTGTGTGGTGAAAGTNAAATATTTTCTCGGTGTTGCAAATGATTTGGAAGTTGGAACCAAAGATTTACTATTAGTAAAACATAAACACAAACAGAGCAAAAAAACATCCAAAATTTTGCTCTCTGGTAAGTAAAATTTACATTCCTAGGAATCATAAGAAGGAAAAATTCTCCAGATAACTCTC